ACTTTTGGTTAAGTATAAATGAAACAATGAAGTTGTCTCCAGGTTGGCTGCTTGCCAGCATAGATTAATTTTATGGCTTAATATCACTCGGTATACTATATTTATGATATTACAGCTGTTCCTATAACTGCTTCATCTTTTCATAAATAAGATATTAATTTCCTGAGTTTAAAGTAACTGGTGACAAAGATACCAGAATCTAATTTTGCTAGAAATCAGCTTGCTAAAACAAGTGATATAATGAATGTGCTATGAGCTTTATTCTTGTTAGTGTGCATAATCTTTAATCACCTTAAAAAATATGAGCAATGAGTAGAGAGTAAAACACTAAGCAAAAGTCTTTGGTTAGGCTGCCATTCTTCAGCCTTAGAAATGAGATCAAAGAGGGTGTTAGGAAAGAAAATAAATAAATCTTCTCTGCCCCTTGACATGTTCTGTTCATCTTTTATTACTTGGTAGTAAGGAGGAGTAGAAATCTTGAATTAATTGGTTAATTAGATTTAGATGAAGTATCTTGTCAATATGTAAATATCTTTTGGAGAGGGAGACATTGTTTCAGTCCTCATTTGAAATGGGGCCGTTGAAATAGCTGTTCTGTAAATCTCCAGGTAATCAACTCCAAGAGAATTAAACTCACAAACTCAATAATGTTTATCATTCCTCTTTACGATTATTTTTCAACTTGGACATTTATTGGAGTAATTCTGAGCCTCAACTTTTCTTCTATTTAGTCTTGCCCTATCTGCCACCATCAAAATCACACAGAAGAGCATGCATACAGCAGGAGATCCTCTTCTCTGCATGGTAGATCAGAAGAGGTCTGTTACCTGCCTACGTGGGTTTGCACAGGTGCCGGTAAATTCCTGCTCTTGTTTGCGTGGCCATTCCCAGAGCAGGACAGCTGCAAGGCGGGTGTTCATCCTCCACCTTTGGAACCGAGATGCAATCCTTTACATGGCCTGCATTTGATGTGTGCCGCATCCCAAAATGTTTTGCAAGGCTAGACCTATATATAAGGCAGGATTAAACTTTGCAGAGTTATTTTGTCCTTACAAAGGACAGTTACTGACTTCAGAACATAGAGACAGAAGAATTCTCTCCCCATTTTCGCTCACATTTTGAATTTCTGTTCTTACTCACAGTAGATTTTATTTACACTTCATTTGAGCCAACACAAATTGTCTGTGTTGTTTAAAGGAGAAGTTTGGGAGAGAAATAAAATGAAGAGCACTTTGCTTTAACAAGTATGAAAAAAAATTAAGACAATTTACAAAGAAAACAGGGAAGATGAAGCAGGGTTTCAACTCTTGTAATTCCATGACCTTCAGTGGGAATTGTGAGTATTGGGCTCTGGCCAAGTTTCGGAAAAGGCAGTGGAAGTGACTCTGCTCCCTTAATAAGCTTTAAATTGTGCTGTATAGATTTAACAATAGTTGATGCATAGCTTTACAGAATAGAGGGCCTAGGGAAAGACATAATTAATATTTTTGGATGAAGCCTATTTTGTGCTGTTCGACAAGTGTCCATGTATCTACCTACCAGGAACTTTTTAGAAATCAAACATTCTTCATCTGCAAGTAATTCCATTGAAATTGAAATATCAGTGGAAAACTATAACATACATATTTTTGAGGAAGACATAATGGAAAATAAAGCAAGTTTGAAAATTATAGCACCTTAGAAACAAGTGTACTTTTAACTTGCTTGTATCTTAGCTTCAGCCGTGCTGTGTTTGGAACTATAAAACTATTTCTGTGAATGAAGACCTATGAACTGCTACTTATTCAGGTTGAAGGAGGGAAGACTGCTAGCCAGGATAAGTGAGAAGTAGTGATCAATAATGTAGGAAATTAAAAAAATTAAACATTGTAAAACATCACCTGGTATTTCATAGTTGTGTTAGAGAAAAATGTTTTTATTTAGAAATCTTTAATTAAGTGAAATCGTGTCAGAAAAGGATTGTACCTTTTAGCAATATCCCTCTGCATACAGTATAGATCCAGAGCAGACATTTATAGGTTTCACTTATAAGCCTTATGATTTCCAAATAGTGTAAAAAAAATAACAAAAAGGATGAATTCCCTGAGTACTAAAATCAGTAGGGTTGGGAAATATTTTGTCCAATATTCAGATGTGTATAAATATCACAGTGTAAGCAGTGACTTATATAATGAACTCTAAGAAATGATCTTTCAAACTTACTGAACGACTGAAGTTTTCCTTGTTTAGTTACTTCCTAGCAAAACACCCAAAATCTGGAATCTGACACCCAAACTCCATTTTAGAAGCATTCTTCCCAAGTAGTAGCATTGGCTTCCACGAGAATTTCAGTAGAAAGGAAAGATAGGGCAGAGCTCAAGGCAAGTCCTGGATCCAAGCAATAATCACTGGTAGTTAAGACACTTGGAAATTTATCTGTGACATAGAAAATTGTGATAGAGAGAAAACATACCCTTGCGATTTCACATTTTCAGTGCTGTCTTAGATTCACAGACAGCAGGAGACGAGTTCATTTTTATTTTTGATTCAAAAAGTATTTGTTTATTTGTTTACGAAATGGCAAAATAATGTGAATACACAGTTGCCAGGAGGAGAAAAGATATGGGTAACGTATCTCTTCTGTCTTGGCTCTATTCAGGGACATCTGTGACTTCATTGACAGATCAGCCTTCAGAAAAAAATCTCCTGCAGTAGCTTTGTTGCACTCTCATATCATCTCCCTTGATAGCAGCATACATGTGAAATTCATAGTCTGCTTTTCTTTGGTTATAAAGATGAAAAGTCATTTAGAAAATATGAAAATAACACTGTAAATTTCAGTATTTAAATGCTACCCAATAACTCTAGTTCTACACACATACATTTCCATATATGCATAATCTGAAGCCTGTGACTAATCATATTGAACTCAGTGGTATGTTTATGTGATTAAGGCCTCTTTACATCTGGGAATTCAAATTATTCTGGGAATAATTTGACAATTTTTCCTTCTTAAGCTCTATGCAAATTTTTTACATGCTCCTGAGTCATTACATGTAGGAAAAAAAATTAAGTAATAGAGGTAATCCACATTTTATGAGCCTTTGGAACACTTGAGGGAGTCTCCCTCTATTTACTGCAGAAACAGCTGTCATTCAGCTGTGAGATTTGGAGCTGTGGAAACTATGGAGGAAAAGAAAAGTGTTCATTCCCAGTGTATTAAAAAAAAAAAAAAAGATGCTTTAGATTTGAATTCCTAGCTGAGTTTCTTGATTCCTGATGTCCTGAGAGAGTTATTTTCAAATTAATTGTAATATGCAAACATATTGCTTGTACATTATAGTGATTTATGGTAATTGGAATACTGATGGGAAAAAATTCTTTTAGACTATTTAATGAGCACCTGTGAAATTAGGGAATGCATGCACAAGCATCCCAAGTATTTGCCCGAGAGATTTTCTTTCCACAGCTGTGAGATTTGGGCATCATTATTTAGATATAAATTGAGAGCCTCTTTCAAAAGGCAAGCAGGTACTTGGTACAAGTTCATGGGACAACTGATGTAAATAATTGCTCAACAGTGTAAATAAGGAGCTTACAATCTGGCTGTATTTTATTATTTATTAGTACTTATTATAATTTATTGGTCTGGTTTCAAACGGTGAAGTTAAAAGTAAAATGAGTTTCTTTTTAGAATAAGTAAGAAATACAGCACCATATGTTGTGCCAATGGAGCTCTCTGATATAGTGCTAATACATTCCTTCCAAGGCCTCAAGACATTTTACAACATTTTTAGCACCAGTTTCTGCAGTAATGACTAACTTCTGCAGGACAGAAAATTACATTCCTTGGGAGGATATGAAATGATCAGGAAAGGAAAGAGCTGACATTATCCAAGAAGCTATTGAGTTAGCAGGATTTTAATGCCAGAACAATTAATACACTCTGAGAAATAAATCAACTGGAACAATATGCAATAAGCATAAAACATTCCTGTGGTCTTTTTATAATATTGAAAATGTAAACACTACATGTCAGCAGATACACTGTGCTAGTTTCTATCAAAACATGGATTTTTTCCTGTATGGTTTTTTGGCTGATGTCATTGGAAACATTGATAACTGATTCTGGTTTCAATGGGAGGAATTATGAGCCTAGAGTATAAAAGAAAAGGCTAAAACAAAGCTCACCAAAATGCCTAAAGTAAAGCTTCCTGTAATCAATCAGTTTCTTGACTTTGGCAGTCTCTTAATCAATGTTTTAATATGAGGAACTGTATATAAAGATGAATGGGTAAGCTGACACTTAGAATGAGGGGGTTGCTAGTTGTTTTTTTTCTTAGCAATTGAGATTTTTAAAAAAGACTGTGGAAGTATTTATGTCATTACTTTTGTGTAGTTTTTTCTTATACTTCAATTATCCTGTGCCTGTTTTACAAATGGATAAACTAAGAAAAGAAGCAGTTAACCTCACAGTCGAACAGAAAGGGAATACAATTTCAACTCTCTAGTTTCATTTATGTATTCATTTTTTCACATGTTCTGCATTTTTAATAGTATTGATTAGCTGGACATATTTGTGTTTTCTTCAGTTGGTGGCCTTTCTCCAGAACAAGGATCTGAGCATCTTTAAGATCAACGTCTAACACACTGAATTCAAAAGAGTTTTTTCAGCATATTAAGCTGAAGCTCAATCAGGAAAGATACTGATGATACTTCTGCTGATTTCCAAAGGTGATGTTGATACTGTGTAGGCTCAGCCCTTAAAAGAAATGCAGATTATGTTGCTTGGAAATGTGCCTGTGGCTTCACAATGGTGAAGGTAACAAATATGTTTCAGGAAAAACAATGTCTTGTAAATAGCTCCATGGTTGCTTGAACAAAATAAGCATAAAGGTGAATGTTGGAGCAAAAATTATTAAGGGGAAACATTTTGATTAAACTTATTTAATATACTGGCATGCCTACAACATTAATAGTATCTTTTTTTTTTTCTTTTTCTATTTGTTCCAATAATGAAGGAATCATCTGCATGCTGCAGGTCATATCTGTGTTCTTAAAGATGCTTTCATGTATGAAAGTCCAACTGAAATAGCAAATCTAATCTCTACAGACAAGTTTGATGCAGCTGTGGCCATTCATCTCTATAAAGGAGGCAGACTTCTGCAAGGTAATCCTTTTTCTATTTTGCAATAAAAATGCCTCTTAAAAAGGTACTGAAAGAGAAGAGAATTAATACAAACATTTATAAATGGCTATAAATGTATAAACCCACACATAATGTAGTTATTCTGTTTATCTACTTCGACAAATGTTCAGAAATGCTGAAAATCTTTCTCTGTGGGAGATCTGATCCAGAGAGGAGAGAACTAAATAAATGTACTTTTAAAGCACATAATGCATTTCAAAATTAAGTACTTTAACTACATTAAGATAACAGCATTATATTAACATTACAATACTTTCAGCAAACGTGTTCTTTCAGAGGACAATGGCTTGGCTAAGTATAGCTGAGGTCAAATAGAAGCAAGCAGAGAGGCTAATTTGATTTTTCTGCTCAAAAATGAGTCAGGTTTTTTTGGACATTAAATAACTTTGAGATGTTGTTCATACCAGCTAAATTGCAGGAGACAGGATGTTATCAGACAAATAATAAAATTTTCTATTGTATCTAGCCATGTAGAACAAAATTTAGGCTGCCATTAATGATACACTAGAAGCACTGGCTTCCAAAATTACAGACGCTGTCACCTACTGAAATTACAAGTGTGTATCCATTTTTGAGATCACATTCATATCATACAAATCTATTCACTTGGACAGAGGTACATAATTTGATACTTTCATCAGATCTCATATAAGTTGTGTTATGCTGTTTTTCAGGAGTCCCCCCGCAATTTGTGCTGGTGGGTTTTCAGAAAGCCTGAATTACTATTTCGAACATGCCTGTGTATCTTTTGTTACAATGGAGCTCTGATTTCAGTAGGGATCCTAGGATATAAACAGAAAAATAATTCTGTCAGGTGATTTCTGTGAACGTATATATATCAGGGAGTGTAGTGACAGGACAAGGGGAAATGGGTTTAAGCTGAAGGAGGGTTGATTTAGATCAGATGTTAGAAAGAAATTCTTTACTGTTAGAGTGGTGAGGCACTGGAACAGGTTGCCCAGAGAGGTTGTGGATGCCCCATCCCTGGAAGTGTTTAAGACCAGGTTGGATGAGGCTTTGGGCAACCTGGTCTAGTGGAGGGTGTCCCTGCCTGCAGCAGGGGGATTGGAACTAGATGGGCTTTGAGGTCCCTTCCAACCCAAACCATTCTATGATTCTATATTAAGACTTCTCTTGTTGGAATGTAGCGATGATTTTTTTGTGACAAGACCTAGAGCTGTTTTGGAGGAGGGTTATGGAAGGTCTTAGAAGTATTTTTTTTTTTTTTTTTTTTTTTTGCTAAGGAACAAAAAAATAAAGTTGGATTTTAAATGTTTCCTGTAAAACTTATTGCAGTTTTAACTTGCATAGCATTGCTCAAATGTTGTTGCTATTAGCTTTTCAAAATTCCAAGTGACCTACAAAGCCTGATACTTGATTGATTTACTAAAGCTCAGTAATTTAAATAAGTCAGAGTCACACTGTTCCAAAAAGAATCTGCAATAACTGAAAGAAAAATAAAACAGAAATCTGTGAAAAGCAAGACAGTAAATAGTATGATTGCTGGGATGATCCTGGTCAAAATGTAGAAGTTATTGTAGACTTCTTGAAGGAAAGA